AATCACATGATTTTTCTCGTGCAATTTGGGATAAACAAGCAGTTGTTAATTTTTTCAAAGACCACAAAATTGCACGAGCCCTAGGGGCTCGTACAATTTTGTTAGTCTATAAAAAAATTTACTCGTGCTTATTTATTCCAAATTGCACTCGAAATCATGTGATTACCTATACAAAACAAGGAAGTTAATGACGTCTGTGCCGTCTAGATATCTCTGAATATCTACAGATCATGTCAGGTTTCAAAGCATCAGCGAGTAATCCGCTTAAGTTACGAACGTTATCCACTCTTGGCCAATTTTTCAATCGCTATAAGATGTAATAATCTCGGAATATTGACCTTAAACTTCTACAAAACCATTTGGAATTCTAATATAGACCACATGAGGTCTATATTAGAGCAAGATGTATGTATACACGGGAAGGGTTAAGTCTAAAGCTTCATTAATTCTTTGGAATGTGTGATACTGATGATACAGTTTCCTCTATTGTTCCTCTTTTGCTCCTCATCAGTACTATTGTTATATCTTTCCAATGTGATGTCTCCTCCACATAGTTTTCATATAACCAGTCTCCGCGTTGTCTAACGTATATAGCTTTTCATAAAAACGTTATTTCAAGTTTAGCGTTTCCTTAAACGTCTCTGAAAACAAGCTTCCATTCAAGATGCTCTGTTTCAATAGCTTTGGTGAAGTGTACTCTCATTTTCTCTTGGTTTTACAAGCAGTTGCACTAATAGTGGAAGTACGCCTTCAACGAGTTGTCCCATCGTTTCACTCAACTCAGCTCTTGCAAGCTCCAAAAGGACATTATGTGGAACTGAATTTCACCTTGAAGACTTCATATCCAACACCATGCATTGATGACATGTACCTTGAGGTTCGCGATGGAAACAACGAGTCTTCCAATCTTCTTGGCGTATTTTGTGGGAGGAATATTTCTAGTACTGTGCGATCCAGTGGACAGAACTTGTGGTTGAGAAAATCAGATAAATTCAATCACGAGTGGTTGCATAACAATTTCAGCGGTTCATACAGTAACAAAACAGCTAATACAACAGGCAAGTATTGACTAACTGAATTTTTAATAAGCCACTGAAAGACAGTGCATATTTTGAGAGTTTTACACTTCTGATGAAAGGAAAATGGCCATAGGTAATGCTTCTTGTACTCAACTGCTTTTGTAATTGCTATGAATTCTTTTTTTTTTTTTTCCAGTCAAACCCAACCTTGATAAAGTGGTCGAGACTCAGTTCGTTCTTTTCAATCATTCCTCATCTCTTTGGTGTCCAGCACAAGGTGCACCGGCACCAGTCATTGTTTGGAGAAAGAACGGCATTCTGGTACAGAACAGTACAAGTGTACTATATCAGCTGAACATTACTGGAGAAAACAATGACAATTACAGCTGTGAGGTGAACACGCAGGATGGTTTTGACAAGAAACGAATCCATCTTGTCATCGAGAGTGAGTTTTAGTTACAAAAATGTGACTCTTAACCCAATCAGACTAGGAGGGAAATATATCGGAAATTGCAGAGTTTCTATACATTGTTGGTTAAATTAACAAATCCTAACGCTTTTTAACCTGGCTTCACACCTAAGAAGCTGATATAATGGTTTTGTTGATCCAGCACTAAATTCTCTTGCCTTACACTGGATTGTTATCGACTGTTACAGGGTAATTCAGTATTATGAACTGAGTTGACAGCGTAAACTGGCCACCGTAAAGAGTTTGAAAGCTGACGATTCGAGCGTTAGCCCTTCGTCAGAGCGACAGACACAGCACCACAGTTTCTTTAGAAACTAACCCCCTTTAGTATTGAGTGTTCATGAGACACCTTGAGGCTTTTTCAGAGGACTCAAATGCACTCTTGCAGCAATTCCGACAAAAGAGATTGACAGGTATTCACTAACTTACATCAACGATACGATCTTAACAGCATATCTTCTTTTTCTAGGGTGTCCAGATCCCTGCCGGTGTACCACGGCAGATGGAATTATGCGCGCAGTTACCCGCATTGAATGTAAAGGAAAACATTTACAGTCTGTTCCACGTCGCATGCCCTGTTCTACAGAGAAATTGTAAGCATATCAGCTCTTCTTTTTTTTTGGCAGGGTGGGTAAAGGGGGGGGGGGGGAAGGGGAGGGGGGAGGAATACACAAAAACAAGAAAAGGCTTGAAACGTTCGACTTTAATCAAGGATACTGATCCCCTATTCAGGGATTTGGAAGACAACCAGATAGAGGAGCTCCCACCTGGAGTCTTCGAAAACAACACCGAGTTGGCCGTCTTGTAAGTAGACAATATATATGCTTACGTTGATATTAACGCGCAATTATTTACGCATTGCTAAATGTCTGACGCTTAGTGATATAAAATGAGGCAGGGAGAATACGAAAGATGTCCTTCCTTCCAGATTTTCTCTCTATAGTTGTATAGCTTCGCCCACCCCTCCTGCCTCTTCCCTCTCTTTACCAATACAGCAGTGATACTCTCTTGTGTGATTGCTAAATAAAGTTTCAACTCTTCCAGATGGCTACATTCCAACAAGATCAAGAAGTTGCGAAATGATTCATTTTCTCAGTTAGTCAAGCTGCAGTGGCTGTAAGTGCAAAGTGGCCATCATATCGGCTAGTACACAGCCTTCTCAAATATGAAAAAAAGCTATGATGACAAAATATAGATTAACTTTTACTCGCTCTAGCAATCATGATTACTAATGAAAGAAAGATCTGGCTGAATTCAGTCATGTACATTTCTCAAGTATTTAATTTATCAAATGCCGATTTGAAATTGTTTATAAAAATCCCGTCTTATAGTTATAAATCCCATTGCTTTCAAAAATATGGTTGGAGGGATGTATTTTACGTTACATTAATCTAACGTATTCAGCCCAAATCATCCCCTAGTCGAATGTCATAATATCAATCCAAGAGAACACAATCTGATAAACTTTTTTACATTCTCTTAACCAATGCTAGAACATTTAATTTTTTTAGAAGGAGAAATTGAACTTTATCTTTAAATCAGGGTTCATTTTTTACCAGAAATCCGATCCTGGTCATACCTAATCACTTTAAGCTTCAAAATAAATCAGAGGAACAGCTTTCATGGGTTTTTTCCCTGACGCAAGCAATATTAAAAAAAATCAAATTACACTCTTTGCATAGAGAAACTCAGCCATTCGGAAGGATGATCCTTTAGAAATTCTCAAAAAATCATAGTTCTCTAAGCTCCTGCTCCATGCAGCTTCAGCTGCATTAAAGGACTTCAAAAAACGTTTTAAATGCTGTTTAGGCGTACTACTCTCCTTCCACACCAGGTGGTAACTCTTTTCCCTAGTTCCTGGATTCGCTCTTTTCCCCCGCGTGCAAAAAAACATAAACCTCAGCCCCCTTGACCCAATTCATATTGACTCTCCTAGGACACTCCATAGCCTTTCAATGATATCTGCGTGGCACAGAAACCAATGACGACGCGACACTGATTAATGACTTTTATCAAAACATGTTAGGATTCAAATCCAATACCTCAGCTCGCGCACTTACTAAATCTTGGTTTCAAATTTTAATTTCCCTCAAGTCCATGCGTAGCAGAGGGGCCAGTTTAGAATTCATGATGGCAGGATCCAAATCCTATATCCCAGCTGGTATATTTACCAATTCCCGGTTCCTTATTCTAATAGGAGTTGCATACCGAAAGATGGAAAAGAAATTTTAATTTTAGTATAGAGAAAATAATCAAATTTCAACTGCATATATCTTTTGCTTTCTCCTCAAAAAGAGACAATTTTTGATAGAAAACTAAAGGTGTGTATATAAGCAATAAGTCTGCATTATTTAACTTGGATAATGAAATTATATTGTGGTCTCTTAAATCTTATTTTTTTATTTGCTTAGTTTTAAAAACCCAGAATAGAATCAAGAACCTGATTTTAAGTAACGCACAATAGAACTTAGATACAGTGTATATTTTTCCGTATAGTTTCCTGGGTGGCAACCAAATAGAAGAGCTACCATCTCGAATCTTCACTTACAACACCGAGTTAACAGTATTGTGAGTAACACATTTATACGTTCATATATATAGAAAAGTAGATAAACTACCACCACCCCTATAGACTATAAAATATCAGCGTGCCACACAGACCGATGAAGCTGTCGCAGAAATTCATGACCTGAACCTTTAAGGTAACTACAAACCTATCTGCAGACAAAACTGTTATAAAATACCGGTATATGGCCAGTGTCTTCCTCTAGGAGGACAAGTTGGAACTAGTGGGTTTGGTATGACTGAACACAACTAGTGGCAAGAATCATAGTAGTAATGGTGCTCTAAAGGGTCACATTTGTTCTAAACGGAATATAGCTCTCGAAATGGATCGGGTGTCCCAAACATTTCACGGAAAATTATCGCAAAATTTTAAATTTCCCCTGGCCAGATAAATAATGCACAACAAAAATACACGAGAGGTGAGATTTTTAACCAAATCCAGGATATATCCTCGATCAACAGACTCGATACGACCTGTAGAAGAGCTGTCACCTGAAGTCTTCTACACTGTAAAATTAAAAGAGCTGATTTGGCCCCAAAAATGGGGCCAAAACGAGTGAGTCCAGTTTGGCACTAGCCTAGGGTCAATTCGGCCCCATTGAAATGGGGCTGTTTTTGGCACCAATTTTGGGGCTGAATCGACCCCATTGTAGGGGCCAAATTGGACCACGTGAAGGGTGAATTTGAAAACTACAGGGGCCACTTTGAAATTTATAGGGGCCAAAACAGCCCCCAAAATTTCAGCCCTCTCACAAATGGCCCCTTTAAAAAGAGCCGATTCAGCTCCAATGTGAGTCCAATTCAGAAGTAGAGGGCTCTTTCCTCTGCACACTGATTTCCCCCCCTCACAATCAAATAATGAAAATACACCTCATATTTTATCTTTCAAACACTAATTTATTCAGTTCTAGTTATTGTTACTGTTAAAACCTTTTACAGACCATGATTTTAAAGTTATGAAGAATCTTAGACAAACATTTGAAAGAATAGGACAATACATTTTTAACATTAATGCAACCAGTTTCTAAAATATATCTCTTCACTAAATCAGTATACTTCTCAAAATTGCAAACATTGCTAGAAATTTCACGAGACACTTGTAACTAAAGCTTCCCTTTTCAATGACTCAGCAAATGTGATAATGTGAGGCAGCTTATAATCAAGACTGACTGAATTTTTTGAAGTACAGAAAATTATCAAAATAACACAACCACAACAAATTGTCCTGCTCCTGCACAAGAGTATAAATCTTGTTTGATTCTACCTCAGGCATTTGCCAAGTCATTGAAAAAGGAGGAAACAGTAACAAGAGTCTGCCCACGCCCAATTTCAAGCAATGCTTGCTCTAAAAAAGTCAAAATTGCCTTTGACTGATTGTAGGAGACATTAAAAACATAAAATGAGCCAAGTAACCCAATGACAGCATCAATAATTTTTTCTTGTGGGAGCTGACAAATAATACTCCCCTCTGTGACTATATACAGGAGATCAATGTCATAAATATCTCCAACAATAACAATTTGTGGCTGGATGTAATCTATAACTGCTGAATCAACATCAGCTTCTCTCTGCAATAAAAACAAATTTTACAACCATATTAAAAACAAGCCAAAGTGCAAAGGAGCATCAAAATTACTGGCTAGTCTGCTGGGTTCAGTTGGTCACTTTACCCTCATTTAATTTTACTCAAATGATATATATGTGGGATGTTTTTCTAAAACTATAAGCCAAAACATTAAAAAAGGAAGTGGAAATTTAGCTCAATGCTTTTAATTTGTCTTCCCTTCAAGCCTTGAAAAATACTACACGACTCCCAAAGTATCTGCGCATATCACAAATGTACATGTGGGGTGTTCAACCCCCAGGAAAAAGACATCAACTATTCCATGTGCAGTATTTATCTTATGGTTTGACTACAGCAAAATTTTTTTAAAAAAAAATTGCTAAATCACAATAATGGAAAAAAAGAAGGAAAATAAATACAATCCCAAAGTACTTGAAGCTTAGTATCTGGACTTCATAGCAAATGGGCTCAGTAATTTTAGCTGTTCTGTAGTATTTTTGTACCTAAGTAGCAGTTTTTATAAACTCCTACCTCCAAAATGGTCACAACTTCTTCTTGAAGTCCCCTTTTCTTTCCACTCCGCTGGCGCAGAACTTTGTTGATGACCAGCAGGGATGTCCTACTTTTAATTTCTGTAATTTAAATACAGAACAATTTGTTTTTTGTGAAAGTGGGAGACATTAACCCCTATATAACAGCATACTTTCCAATCTAGCAGTCTTGATAAACTCTCCTTAAAGCCAGGGCTTATACAAGTTGTAAAATCAAAGGTGACTTCTAATCAGGTGTCTGTGACAGCAGCAGAATGTTTTACACAAGTTAAGGTATAATACTTCTTTGTAAATGATTGAAAACCTCATTTTTACCTTCTCTGTTGCATCCCTCTTCACTAAGGGCAGCTTCCATTCCATCCATTACCTCATTGACCACCTTATCTTTGCTAGCAGCAGCATATTTTAGGATATGCTGCTGCCACATAAGGTATTTTTCCCGCAATTTGGTTGGGATGTTATCATCATTGAATATTCTACACAGCTCAGCTTTTAACTGCATTGAAAGGTAAGGCAGAAAACATAACATGTAAGTCGTCTTACTTGTCCGATGAATCTACTCTAGAGGTATTCATAACCACATGTGTACTGAGAATCCAGAGAGAGAAATGCTGTTCTTAAGGACTGTTCATGCCCTTAATAGGAACACAAATATATTGGTAAGGAACTTGCCTTTCATACACACAAAATCCCTCTTCCCCCCTTAAGAAAAAAATTAGTACAATTGGGAAGCATATCATTTAAAAGTATTGGACTGCAATCTCTGACAGGTACCCTAGTATCAGCCAAAAGTTGGCCAAAAAACAAACAAACAAACCTGTAACTGGTTTACATTTCTGACAGATACAAGCAATTTACAGCTAATACTTACATGGATGAAGTATTTCAGAGATGGGTACTCCATCAACACAGCCTTCACCAATTTAGGGGCAGTTATGATTTCATGGCGGCGGAGGGGGAATGTTTTATCCATGAAATCCTTATGAGCTTTGTGCTTTCGGGGGTTTCTCCTGACTTCATTGCGATTTTCCTCAGCAAAGGCTTTTAAAGTTGCCAGAGTCTCACCTGCAGGTAAGTCTGGCTGCTGTGCCCAAATACTGAAATCTTTTTTTTGCCTTTTGGCCTTAGAGGGACCAGCTTCAGCAGGATTGGCTGGATGTTTAGGTTTTTGGATTTTTTTCATCCTGTTGAAAATCTTGACCTCCAAATAGCCCTGGAAAAGGGTCAGGACATTGCATAAATTAATGCCTAATTTTTTTGCACATTTGTTAGTAAACTTTACTCAACTAATGATATTACTTTCAATGTGTGGAGTTCACATCATCTAAAGTTTTTCAGTTGGCACTTTATTCTGCCCCTTTCCCACTCTGTGCCTCCTGGCTGAACACTACACATCTAATTCTATGGTAGATATGTGTTATAATTATTGGTAACAGCCAATCACACTTAAGAACTTAAAAGATCAGAGTGATTACTCTGCACCTTCTAAGTTTAAGCCAAGAAATTCAGCACAAAAATTTCTATTTTTACCATAAGTAGAAGAAGCAAACTGATAGATTTTTAAAATTTACTAACCCATTCAGTGTCTGAGTCAACTAGTTTCGTGCCAGCCATACATGGATACTCTTCCACAATTTTTTTAGCTATCCATTGCCTCTCAGAGCGCTTTGGGTGGCTGGTGAAGTGGTTGATGCTTGTACAAACATCCCGGACCAATTCACTTTTCTGGTTTGCACTGAGGTATCCCTCCTGGATACCTAACTCTACTGAGGCAGAGAACTGTAAAAAAAGTAAACAAATGAACAAATTTATTTGTCGTTGGAGAACAGTAATTTTTGTGACTAAAAATAAATGTAAACAAACTGTGCATAAAAGAGAAAAAACATAATCATACCTCGTTGATATCAATAATTTACTTTCACCAAACTATGTACTTATCGAGAAAGGAAATCATACTCCTAGGCACTTCAGTTTTCATGAATTAACAAGGATTGCTTAAAAAAACTAAATAAAAAAAAAAAACGGAAAAGTTTCTTACTCTCGATGGAAGCTGGAACTTTGATAGCCATCCAAGAGGAAGCTATAGGTAGAAATATTTTTTGAATAAATTAGACTGTCTGACAACATGTTATCAATTAAGTAATTTTTAATTTACCGAATTCATACATTAGGTTTACTTCGTTTTATGCATAGTGGACGTAAATACATATCTAGTATATTTCAATAAAAATTAGCAGATCTCACCGTTTTTGACGGCTGTTTTCCCCGACATTTCTCTTCTTTAACGGACCAACTGGCACCTTGTGTTTTTTCCTTTGGGGTAAAATAGGAAGAAAGGAATTGATAATGTACTCTTCACTATCCAGCCATCTTCACCATCTTACCCCATAAGAACTTACTTTAGCAATGCCCAGTTCTATCGCCTCGTCCATGATACAAAAATCCTTGGGAGATTTTCCCTTTTCATTGGGTGTCGATGTTAGTTCTAAATTTTCATCATCGCTGGTGTTTTGTGAATCGTCAGTCGACGTGTAAAACGAATTGCTCGTAGAACTTGATTCTGCACACTGAAGGAGAAAGAGCAAAAAATTCAGCTTAATTGGAGACAAACTAAGATATGGACATAAAAATAACAATTAATTTTTTTAAGGACAAGTTTAAGAATTCGGAGTGAGGAATCCTAAAATCAGAGAGTCTTGAAAGAAGTCAAGTTCATCTTGTGCAAATGCAGTATCCGTTTTGAATTGTAACCGTCTCTATCTCTCGGCGCCAAAATGAGAACACATGACTTTAGTTGTGAAACCGCTGAGAATCAGGGGAATCACGCATGCGTCAAATTCTTTGGCGGGAAAATTAATTATCTTACCGACGAAGAACTCGCACCATCTCTAGGTTCAGCGTTCATCAAGATCAATTTCTTGAATTTTAGTCGCTCTTTTACTAAGGGAAAGTAGTGCCTCAGTTCTTCTACATATTGGACAATGCCAAGGAGATCTTCACCGTCCAAACCGTCCTTTTCTGCAAGATAAGATACGAACAAAGATCAGTGAAGGAGTCAAGTTTGTGTACATAAAATTGCAATAAAATGTGTTGTTAAGCAAATTTCTTTCGCTTACCTATCCTCTCTAAAGTCTCTGGAGAAAATCCATGCGACTGGAGCCAAGAAACAACCTCCTCACCACTGTAGTTCATTATTGAGTCCGACGCACGAGGTCTAGCTAGGTTCGTTCGACTAATGAGATACGAAGAAGGAGCTGCAGAGACGCACCAGCAAAAGAAGGACGAATTTTGGAGGGAAATCGCTTTTATAACAAAATTTTAATCATTAAAAAGTTCACAGTTTTAAGTTGAGTAAACCAATCGTTAGCTGCGGTTTCGTTCGAGTTAAAGATCTACCAGTTTACCCCTCAACATTCCCGAATCCCTACGTCCTTGTGGCGTTTAAGTTGTGATGGGTATTCCGTGTAACATGTGCAATGCTGTCCTTGACAATTTTGGACAGCATTATCAGCCATTTCAGGCGGGTACATAGAGAAGATCCTAATTTCTTTGTTACATGTGGCATTAATGGATGTGGAAGAACTTACAAGAAATTTTATGGGTACAGAAGTCACGTACACAGAGTGCACAGAGGATTTCTACGAGTTGCACGTGACGTTAAACAACCTCAGGATTTAGTGCAAGATATTGAGCCTGAAGAGCAAGCTGGTGATTTGCTTATTGATGAAGCACTTTTTGAAGAAGACAAAGACGATATCCAAAATGAACAGTTAAGAAACACGAGTGCAGCATATCTTTTGCGAATCAAGGAAACACACAATCTCTCACAAAAAGCTTTGGATGACATTGTACAGAGTACCAGTTCTCTTGTCTCTACTGCTGTTAAGTCAGTATGTATAAATATTGCCAATAAGCTTTTGAATATGGAGGAAGAGGAAAATCATGTGATACAAAACATAACATGGCAAACTTTATTTGAGGAAAATTCTGAGAAGGCAAGCCCATTTCAAAACCTTGAAACAGAAAATAGACAAAAACGAGCATTTAAAGAAATCTTTGGTCTTGTTGTAAGTATAAGAAATTAAGTATATTGTACAATTTAGGATTTCCTTGTTAATAGTAAGGGAGTAAATCACTATTTTAATGAAAAGAAAAGCACCTTAACATACAGCTGTTAAAGACACCAAATTCTGCTTACAATGTTCAAACATGCCTAAACAATTTATAGTTGTAATACCAGAGACAGAAATGTGCAGTCTTTTCTCTTGTTTTATACCAGCTAGGGCTATGCTTGAACCAGCTAGCTAGGCTAACTTAGATGTCTCTGTACCAGTATGATATTTTGTTGGAATGTAATAAATCAACATGCATTATGTAATGTCCCCTGAACAGGAACCTGTGAAACGTGTGCTTGGAAACTTCCATGGTCATCGACAGAAAGGTCCAAAAAGAAGAAGGGTTCAACTAAATGATGAAGTCATTGAGATCCCTCTTCTTGAAAGTTTAGAGCAGTGGTTGAACAACCCCTCAATTTTGAAACAGGTAAACAGAAATTATGGTGAAGTCAATCTACACTTTGCCATACTTGTTTTATCATAGGGGAACTTAGTTTTATGTGGACCAGTTCTTTAACTTGTGGGAATTTGCCTAGCTGGTAATTTTCCATTACTTTGCCCAGTGGTATTCTTAAATTTTGATAAAGGTGGAATGTTAAATGTGGTGATTTATTTGTAAATTCTTACGAATTGTTTCTGAACAGGTGGAAAACTCACATCAACGACATGATGAGATGATTGCTGATTATTGTGATGGTCAGGTTTACCGCCAGCACCCTCTTTTCTCTAGGGACCCACATGCTTTACAGATTATATTGTATTATGATGATGTTGAAGTTGTGAATCCACTGGGCAGTAAAACCTCAAAACATAAAGTTGGTAATGAGATATTTTTATTTCACTATACTGTCACAAGTCATGAGACATTCATGCATGTACCTCAGAGAGTAAGGAAAGGCATTTAGGTGTAGTTGTTTCACAATTAAGATTCAACCAGTTCAGATACTTATTTTATGTCATAATCAATTAACCTTTGTAAGCATGCTAAATGTTGCATACTATTTTAGGCGTTTTTTACTATACTCTTGGGAATATTGACCCTAAGCACCGATCCCAGCTAAAGGCAATGCAGCTTCTGGCAATTGCAAAGAGAACTGTGATCAAGAAGTATGGATGCAATGAAATTCTTCAAACATTCATGACAGAGCTCAATCAGTTAGAGCAGGTGAGAGTTAAATAATGACCACAGTGTGCAGTACATTCAATATCTGTTGTAGAGTAAACTGAAAGTATAGAAATGCAACAGACTTTAAAAATGTTGTACCAGTCTTATTTGTATTGTATATATTGGACAGATCAGGGCTTGACTATCAACATCCTTTTTTTTTATTTGATCTATATTTATTTCCTAAGGATGGAGGATACCAGTTTATCATAAATGGGGAAAGAAAGTCTTTGAGAGGAACCATCAGCTTTGTTTCTGGTGATAATTTGGCATCCCAGGAGATTGGAGGCTTTAAAATTGGAAGCTGTTCTGCACTGAAGTGCAGAGTTTGCATGGGAGATGCAAATGATGTGGCTTCAAAGGTAATATAATAAAATAAAAGATGAACTATTTTTCCACTGACAATATAATAAGTTTTGTCAATCTACATGCAGCTGTCTAAATCTCTTCCCATTCACTTTGCACTCTGCTGCCTACTCATAAGTTTTTTTTCTAGGCTTTTGCTCATTGTGATAACTTTTGGCTTAACTTTCCCAGCAGCCATGTGAGAAACATTCTATGTAGAACCAAAGATACTCCCCTCTATTAATGATTAAACCACCTGATCCTGTGACTTACCATGAAAAAACTGTGTTGTAAATCGTGTCTTATAGAGTTTGTAATTGAAGAGTGGTGTTGAAATCCAATAACTTTCTCATTATTCCCCACAGTTTGTGGAAGACGATTTCCAATTACGCACCAAAGCAATGTATGATCAGCAGTGCACAGCCATTGAAAATTCAGCCATTGACATTTCTTCACAGTTTGGAATAAATCTGAGATCAGCCCTGAACCAGTCACGATACTTCCATGTCATAGAAGGTCTTCCGGGTGATGCAATGCATGATGTCCTTGAGGGGCTTCTTCAATATGAAGTCAAAGAACTCCTCAAATATGCTATATATGAGCAGCAGTTTTTCACTTTGGAAAATTTAAATTGTTGGATTAAAAATTTTGATTATGGTTATCCAGATGTTTCCAACAAACCATGTGTTATATCAAGTGCCACCCTAAATTCCAACACTAATTCTCTCAAACAAAAAGGTAAAATTGCATTATTAGTAGCTTCATTCGTACAACATGCTTTATCCAGAGATACAGTCTTAGCTTTGAAATCATTGCTTGTAACTCTGACACAAGATACATTTGTCATCATTGCATTGTCACCCTAGTGTACACTGTTAGTATTAATTTTGTACACAAAAGGCTGTCTTTTTGTCCATTTTTATTGTTATGGTAATATTTGAACTGCAAGTTACAGTAATTCAAAATTTTCCAAACATTTGCCATGTGTTTAACATCATGATCCTACCATTCTGGTATATTTTTTAAAAGTAGTGGAATATTTTGGTAAATGATCAATGGCACCGATACATATATATATTTTATTTATTTCACTCATGAAATTGATAAAACTGTGTTTTGGTAGCTCTGTTGATCATAATGTGATTTTAGCTTCACAGATGTGGTGCCTTGGCCGTTTCCTTCCATTGATGATGGGCAGCCATATCCCTCGTGATGATGAGAAGTGGGGTCTCTTCTTAAATCTTTTGGAAATAGTGGACATTGTTTTTGCTGATGCAGTCACACTTGATAAAGCAGCTTACTTAAGGGATTTAATCACAGATCACCATACTAGCTTTACCCAATTGTACCCAAATTCCTCTGTGATTCCAAAGATGCACTATATTCTTCATTACCCCAGGACAATGGTAAGGTAAGTTGGAAATTAAAAATATTTTAACTTTTCTTTTGATGGGTGATAATTTTGTGACATAAATCTTTGTGTTATTGTTTGTGTTTTCCAGTAGTTATCTATAGTACATGTAAGGTTGATCATTGAAAAAGGAAAAAATGTAAATATGTAGCATTTTGATATTTAAGGCTTGGTCCCATGGTACGGTCCTGGACAATGAGATTTGAGGCAAAGCATGAAAGACTCAAACGGCTGGCCACATCCCTTGGCAATTTCACCAATATTCCTTGGACGCTGGCTCTTCGTCATCAGTTGAGGCAGTGCTATGAAATATCAGGCACTAAGCATGGTCATCCATCAATTGAAAAGTCTTTGGAAGTAGGCCCAGGTATTTAATTACAACCATTTTATTTTCCACTGGTCTGAAAGTATGCTGACATTCATATGTGCATGTGAATTTGCCTGTGACAATATAGACATGTGTATTTATCTAATGGGGGTCCTTAGGACCAACAATTCTGCTTTTATTTATTTAGTGTAGAGACCATTCATTGGAAAAAAACTGCCACAATTATTTTTTGTCAACTTGTAGCCAATAACCTTTAAGCCTGCTGTCTAATTAGATATGTTATGCCTTTTAAAAAAAACAAAGACACTTATTGTAATATTATGGGGTTATTATTGCCATTTCCAGGGACTCAGAAAGAAGCTAACAGGGCAGCATACTTCAACATGCTTCTTGAGAAGCTTGACACCCTGGAAGGTGAAGACCTAATTCATGAGTAAGTAATTTCATTTAATGCAAACACCATTCAAGTGCAGATTTTAAACTAGGTGAAGCAGAATTAACAACTTTACATAGAACAAGTAATGTAAAAAAAAAAATTCTGTATTAAGAATACAAATATTTACATGTGCTCAGGGTATTCAATGGTAATTTTTTTTTTAATTGACAATGGCACTTTTGTTGTAGTTTTTTGTTCTTGGACAACCCATCTTTTTCATCTTTTTTGACGGTTGTATTTTTCAGGGCAAAATGGTGCATGGTCTTTGGTACCAAATATAAAAAAGGTGCAGCTGTCCACACAGGAGGAGATGGGCTCTTACCACAGTTCTCACTGATAGACAAAATTGTGACAGTTCCTGGGAAAGATGCTTCACAGGTCTTTTTTGTTTTGAAAGAAATTGTTACCCATCATTATGAAGTCCACTTGCATGCATATCATGTGAAGGTTTTAAATGATGGAGCAGTCAGTGTCAGGAGCCAAGAAGAACTCACAACATTTAGGCCTTTGCATATTTGTAGAAGTATTGGGGACAATCAATCCAGTTTTATCTGCCCTAAAAGTGATGTGGATGTTTACAATGAGCAGATATAGAAAAGGTGTCTGCAAATGATCTTGGAAAGGTGTACTGAGTATATGTCAGCAATCAAATATGATTTTTTGGATTATGTCTGCAACAGGCTGTCATTTTTTGAAAAGTGCATTGAATATAGATGGGCAAAAAAAACTGTTTGCTTTTAAAGGTATTGTATATAAAACTGCTTGTGAAATGACTTGTAAATAGCATTGAAGCTTTTGTAAAATAAGTTGTAACCTAGTGATAATCATGGATTAATAAAGAGCATTTGATATAGCTTAGGAATGGGTATTTTAGTCTCTGTGTTTTCAAAATCCATTGTATAATCAAACCTATGAACACAGAATAGTAGCTTGGCTCACTGTTCTGATTTTCAGTGACTTAGTTTGTTCAATCATATGGTTATCTTTAGAAATTTTGAATAACATCCAAACCAAAGTGATTCTAGATGCCCTCATGAGATCAAGGCCAGATGGCATCAAAGAGCTGAAATGATCCACACCTGTGGGATTTTCTTAAACTGACATGGCTGAAAAAATGACAAAAATAATAAGCATCTTCCTATGTCAAAAGCAAAAGTAGAACAAAAACTAACGACCTTACTCACTGTGTTTACTATTATTGTACTTTTTTGGGGCCAAATTGGTCAATCCTACTTGGCTCTTGGAGGGGCCAAATTGAGAAAAAGTTCCAAAGTAGAATTCATAGGGGCCAATTCAGATTTTGGAGGGGCCAATTCAGATTTTGGAGGGGTTGAAATGGTACCTGTTCCGCCCGTTTTGGCTCAAATAGTCCAAAACGAACCTCGATGGGCCAAATTGGCCCTCAAGAAATTGGGGCCAATTTGGCTTTTGGGGTCAATTTGGCTCTTTTCATTTTACAGTGTAAAATACAGGGATTATCAGTTATTTTTCATAAGAATATGAAAATTCTCCGTTATTTTTCCACTATATATGTTCAAGGACAAGTATCCAGGCATCATGTTAAGTCAAACAGTTATATGCTCTTCCTTGTACTCTAAATGTTTTTCAAGTGCGTATGACAAAACATTTGCTACCATTTTATTGGCGAAAACGAAGGTTCATCTGAACGACTTTTCGATGTGAATTTGTAATGAAATAAATTTATTTTAACTTGCGGATTAAAATCAGCGGGTGAGTTGCAATTTTACCAATTGGAGAAAAGTTGACTAAAAAAGATTCAGCCTTGGATGGGATTCGAACCCATGCCTCCCAAATACTCACTGGGCGCCGCTACTAACTGAGCAAGAAAGCCGCACCTTGGGAGTGAGGAAAATTTGCGAGGATTAAATTTTTCGTGGAGGAAACTTATGCTCTTTGCAGTGAGATAAATCAAATAGAGCCATGACAGACGCAGGTGAGGTGATATTTCAGCAATTACCGAATAGGCCGGAAAAAAGATAGGAAAAAAAAAACCTCGTTATTTGACCTTCTAGGATTTGCTTCGCTCAAAATGTGGGAGGAGTAGAGAAGTCTGGAAATAAGTTGTTTTTTTTTTCTTATGTCGAAAGATGTTTTATCGACACTCTGAGTGTACTACAAACTGTTTGAGGTCACTAATGTTTGATTAGTAAGGGACTTCACAATAGTTTTTAAATATTGTTTAGACTCATTCCCAGTTTAATTTATCCAACCAAAGAGTTAGACTGAGTTAAACTTCTTTTAAACGTATGGAAAATAAAATAATAATAATGATAAAAAAATACCTATGGGCCTACGTGGAACTGAAGAAATAACTATCTCTCCATGACAAGAGTTAAAACTCACTTCTCACAAAATTTATCTGCAAATCTCTTTAAGCTGGAAAGTTACCTTGGTATTAAGAGGTCAGGAATAATTTGAAAATGACAGTGTTGAACATAAAGAAACCGTAGGACTCTTTTAACTTTACTATGTTTAAGCGTAGATCTTTACAGCAATAACCAGGCTTAATGACTTGAAGAACTTATCAGATTCAAGGGGAGATAGTACTGTTAGGATCAATATAATAAAAATATTTTCAGTAGCAAAAATTCACTGCATAATAGTTAATTAGAGCTACAAATCGCACGGTTTTGTGCGTCGCCGGATTTCCTTTTTTGATTGGTATACACTACTTAAAGTCAGGTATTCGAGATTAAGTGCGCCACACCATTATTCTCTAAATGTACATGTACCAAGCGTCCAAATATCTTCCAAAGTTTGGAAAAAACAGTTACGCAGACATTTTCAGCACAGAAAGAGATCAGCCATATAAGGAGGGAAAACAGAATCCCCTCGCTTCTCCTGGGGTAAAAGTAACAACAAATCTGAACTTTCATAACAGGAGTGAAAACAGCAATCATGGTGAACATTTAGAATCTCGACACTAATTGTTTATTAAAGTAAAATAAAAAAAAGATCAAAAATAAAATTAAAAAGAAAAAGAAAAACATAAAAAAAAAAATAATAAGAATTACCGTAGCCTAAACGGTGAGCACTTTAAAATCCCCCAGGTTTTTACCATTTCTAACTCGTAGTCAAATAAATGTTTTAGTCGCCCGTCGGATACACCATAAGGATTATTTTATGATGCCCAAAAGTTCTATATAGTCTCTACTCAATACAGAACCTCGACACGAATTATTTACTATAGAAAAATAAACAAATAGAAAAATTAGAAATAAAAAAAGAAAAATTAAAAAAAAAAAAAAAGAAAAAGAAAGAGAAGAAAAGATTTTCACACAGCCACAACACCAAATGAACTGAATATCGAAGAGCTGATGTATCGAGGAAAGGAATGGATTCGTATTGCTGCAGCGAGAGTTTAAACGTGTGACGCTGGAATTATCATTAAATGAATTCTAAAATTGATTTAAGGTAGCCTAAAGGGTAAGCATTTTAAAATATCACCTGTCTATTTATAACCTTTTCTAACTCGCACTCAAATAAGCGTTTTAGTTGTCCGTCGGATACACCATAAGAATTATTTCATGCTCAACCTCAATGATATTTGCTACATTTTTATTATATGGAATTTGGGAGACAACCAGCCAGAAAAGTTACCACCTGGAGTCTACTATAGCAATACTGAATTGGCCGTTTTATTATTAAAAAAATCAAAGCATAAGTTCATGTGTGATACATAAAGAATGTATTCGTCTCTGTTTGTGTTCAAACACCACTTGCACATATTTTGTCAATTACCGAATGTGAGTGAAATTATACTCACACCGGTTGTCGTCAGTCTTGAGGCTCATTAATTGCCGGAATAAGGTTAGAGTTGCCGTATTTTTGCTTAAGATGTAATTATTTATTAAATCAATAATGGACCAGTTTCTCAAAAAACACTTATTTACTAGGGGGCTTTGGAGCAACAAGATGAAGAAGTTGCGTGGTGATTTATTTACTCCATTGGTGAAGCTACAGTTTCTGTAAGTCAGGAAGCTCACTTTTATATCGATCTACTTTAACTTGAAAGGGTATTAGCTTTTGCTTTAGATTTTTCCACGCAAGTGACAAAAGGAACGACTTCCACTTCGCGCCCAACTCGCACTTGCTTCCGTTCGTCTGAAAACCCAAAAAATCACGCCGGTTCTGCAGGCTAAATGCTCACCTAAATATCGCTTTGTTCTTGTTATCGGGATTTGGATTGCATCCAGAACCTAGAGCCTGATGATTTCCGAGGGTAAAGTTCAGAGTTCAGATTTCGACAATCGACAAACCAAAGAATGTAAGCCAGCACCTTCAGTAGGATTTGATTTCAAAAGTTGTTGAAATTAACTAACTCTGGTCTACACTTTTTTGGTTATTCCATATTCGAATAGGGCGCGATCGCAAATTTACACGTTTAGCGTGCTTTACGAGCTCCATGACAAAATAATTAGTTTAAAATGCATGAAGTTAAAATGCATGCAGTTACGAGGCTGCACCGGCGCAACACGCAAACTGCGTGTCACTACGCGCACTTGCAAGTGCGAGTGTGAAATACGTGTAAATTACACGAGATCAGTCAACTACAACTCATTAAATGTGTTTATTGAGACTTCTGGATTTACATTTATCCGTAAATATTTAACGAGCATCAACTAGTTACTGGGCTTTGTTGGGTTTCTTATTAATCAAAACTGCGATAGCCAAGACTTGGAAGATCCACTTGAACTGCGTCCGCTTTCCTACAAATGGTTTCTTCCGATTGCCACGAGTTCACTTGAAGTTTTCAATCGAATGATTATGGAATAGATATTTCAATTAAAAACAAACCAAAATTGTGCTGGCCCGCTTACCGGGACGAATTTTCGCCTCAGGTTCATATGAGAAAATTTAACCCGGTTTCCGAGATGAGAAAAGGCCGAAGATGCTAGGGACGAGTTTTGGCGCGAAATTAGAAAAACAAAATAAAGATGGCGAAATGCAACCGAGTTATTACTTTTGTGCCTATCATTGCTTTGGTAACCCTTTAGCTGTATCACTGAAGTTAAACGGGTTGCTAAAGATGTGGAAAATTCATCAGGCAAAGCAAACGATGAAATATGCTGATGATACGCTTCTTTACTTTGCTAGTGACGATGTTAACATTATTGAGTCCAAACTGTCATCTAATTTAGATAGTGTTACTCAGTGGCTTAGTGCTAATTACTTAATACTCAACTCTACCAAATCTAAAACGATGCTTGTGGGTACCACTCAAAGGCTTGCCTCTAAGTCGTTCTCCATATCATCTAACGGCCGAGACTTAGAGAGATCAGAAAAGTTTAAATATCTTGGGGTTTTTATGGACCCAACACTTTCTTGGAAGTCCCACATTAATTACTTGGGGAAAGAAGATCTCGTCTAGATCAGGAATGTTGCGTAGAGCACGAAAGATCTTGCCTCAGTCATCCTGTATCATTTTGTACAACGCAATGATACTCCCCCTTTTTGACTATTGCTCAGTTGTATAGGATAGTTGTGGAGCTATATCTAAAGGGTATCTTGATAAGCTTAATGGGCGTGCGGTGAGTATTATCTTAAATAGGGCTGTGAGTGAAACAGATATT